TCCAAAACACGAGTAAATATTTAGTAGAAAAAAAATGACAATGAATTATAAGCAGTTAGAGGGTTGTCATATTATTCGTTCCATTTTTGATATAATTCGTTTTCTATGTATTTACACTCAATTTACGTTAAAATTATTGTATTGTGCTGTTTATATTTAATATCTATGTTTCCGTTTACTAATTTGAATTTTATTTTACAGTAAAATACTCGGAAACTTTAAATAATAAAAACCAAACACAAATTACATAGCTTAATTTTCACAATATCAACTTAAAATGGATAAAAGCATTATGAAATAATTATTATTTAATAATTATAATTAATTTGTACACCAACATTAAATTTTAAACATATTTCTTCATATTAGTGTTAGCTTTCGCTCACGTGATCGTTCTATATTTAGATTTAACTTGGCAGAGATATTTTGTGTCGTGTCCTTTCATATCTAATTTGCATATTTGTGATATTAAATTATTAATGTATATTAAACAGATCTAGACATTTTATATTATTTGAATTTGACTGGATTAATAAAAAAAATAATATAACATTTTTAGTGTTTAGCAGGAAAGTTTCAACGTCACATGACATTACAGTCTTTTCATCTTATCCCAGAGGCATCAGTTCGCGCCAGATTTCATACAGTGCAGTTTATTGTTTGCATCTTCTCGTTATCTTTCGAAGTTCACTGGTATAAATTTTTATCACGTGGATGGATATAACATTTTTAGTGTTTAGCAGGAAAGTTTCAACGTCACATGACATTACAGTCTTCTCATCTTATCCCAGAGGTATCAGTTCGCGCCAGATTTCATAGAGTGCAGTTTATTGTTTGCATCTTCTCGTTATCTTTCGAAGTTCACTGGTATAAATTTTTATCACGTGGATGGATATATTTTGCATTGTGTTTAATGAATAAAATATAAAAATTTACTGTGAATTTAGGACTTGTTTGAGAATATGCTACTTTATAGAAAGAAAAGTTGTAGAATAATTTATTTTCAACAATTAGCGAGAACTGATTTTTGGAAATAATCCTCGGAAAGAAATGAAGGTATGTATTATATGCTTACTAATTTATTTGTGCATATAATTATCTAGACCTAATTTCGAAACATGTATATTTTTTTAATGTTCATAAGTTTGTTATTTAGACATGTCTACCGATTTAGTGCTATTTTACATAAAACAAAGTGAAAAAAGAATACAAAGTTCAATTAGCGAGTAGTCCCTTTATTAGCACATTAATTTGTTGTATTTTTTTTATATTTTAGGTGTAATTAGATAAACTATGATGAGAACGTATCGACAGTTATATAATGAACTGGATTGAAGTAAATTGGTTGACTTTGTTTGTTTCGATCTAGTTATTTCGTAATATTACGATATACGAACTTTAGATTTTGTGAATTGTATTAGAGTAAAAAATAAAGTTTTATGTTATTCTCCTACTTGATGATGTATTTTTAATGTTTCCAAACTAATTAATACTTCTTAAATTGAAATTCAAACTTTACAAACTACTACGAATATTAGAGAAGACCGTTTTACTATAAATTAGTACATTTTACTCTAATGTTGATTTCAGAAAAAGTAGGTCAGACGAGGACCGTTCGACTGATGACGAGACTGTCAGCTTTTCCAGGTCGCATCGGAACTCTCGCGATAGTGTGATTTACGGAAGTCACGCCTACTTTTTTCTGCAGTGAGCCAATCAGGAATATTAATTTTTTTAATCAATCAGATGATGGCGGGAGGCTTAAATTCAATTTATGTCGATAGATGGTCCTCTAAAATGTCATATTTATTTTAATTTTCTTTTTTTTATTGTAATTTTTTGAGAAATAAAGTATATATAAAGTAATTTGTTAAAAGATGTTATCCACACAGTGTTCTACTTAACTTGATTGGACATTCTTGTTGGCCACACCTTGCATAAAGCGTATTGGCCGTGAATCATTACCGAACTATATCAGAATAGCGAATCAGAAAAAAACAAATATACTGTAGATTGTAGATATACTGTATTTGATTTTTTCTGATATACTGTAGATCAGTGTTTTTCAACCTTCTTGAATACGCGACCCCTTTACAAGTTAAAAATTTTGGCGACCCCCCACAGCCATATTAAAACTATGTCAGTGATTTTTAAAAACTACGTTTTTAATTTTCTTTCTGTTGAGATTTAAATAACTATCAAAAACTAATTGTACCGTAAAATAAACAGGCAGCCTTCTCACTGAAATTGTAGTTTTTTTATTGTAGTGTAGGACTTACAAACACTTGTCTTTTTCTTTTACCTGCGACCCCCTGTGTATGGCTTTGCGACCCACAGGTTGAAAAACACTGCTGTAGATTGTAGATATACTGTATGAGAAAAAATCAAATACAGTATAAGCGATCGATCTGCCAGCAATGGAGTTAAATCTAAAATAAAACTTATAATAACTGTTATAACGTTTAATTGTTTCATGACTCTATTAACAAATAGTTAGGGAAAGGAGTTTTTATTTATAGCAGCGCTGTCCAACTGGCGGTCTGCGGGCCGTATACGGCCCGCCAAATAATTTTTACGGCCCGCGAGTACATTTTACTATGAATAAATTTATGTTACTAAATTATTATTATTAGTCTAATATTAAAATTATTTTACTACCGTGTTTCCCCGAAAATAAGACAGTGTCTTATATTAATTTTTGCTCTGAAAAATGCACTAGGTCTTATTTTCAGGGAATGTCTTATTTTTCCCAGGAAGAAGAATTCACATTTATTATTGAACAAAAAATTTCCAAGTCGAACTTAGACGAGAGTGACGTATATCCGGTGTGTCGAACTGTCGCCTTTTTATAGCGTCAACATTGGACTCGCTGACCAATTAGTGCTTACTGAACCGTAGCACTATGCAAATGTCATGTGGCGTGATTCCCGGCCGACCAATGAGCCATCACCTAATGTTTGGTGATGGCCCCCGAAATGTTTGGTGAAGAAAATATGGCCCGCGGGCTATGATAAGTCGGACAGTGCTGGTTTATAGAGTAATAAGACACTTAGCAATTGTTGTCAATTACAGTGGGTGTGGGTGGCAGCTCACAGGATCTATCTAAGACTTGTCTGGATAGGCTGTGTGGGATTGTTCTCCTGTTTCGAATCAAAATTTTTGGGTATATATAGGAATCAGAGACATTGTTGGATAGAACTTTTTAAGGGGGTTCGTATGACACTTAAAATTTTTGGCTAGGTTGGTTAGGATGGAAGTTAGGGGGCTTTAAATTCAACATTTTAAATGGGTTTAGTAGGTGGGGGTTTAATTTGAAGGAGGCGGATTTGGGGGTATAGTTAAGGATAACATATTCTGCTTTTTTGTAATTTTGGCAAAGTTTGGTTCATAATTTAAGGAGTTACTACAATGGGAAATTTTAAAAGTTAACGTTTTATAACGGTTCTTTAAATAATGACTTTTTTTAACGGTCATTGGTTAGTTTTAGTTTAGTTGCTTATCTAATTTTGAATAGAGGGGTGAGGTAGCTTAAGGGTGGGGCTTATTTTTGACAGTCATTAATTAAGTCCCTCTGGCTCGACTGGCCAGATTTCCTCACCCCTTAATAGAGGTGAGGAAATCTGGCCAGTCCACTTCAAACACCTTTGCTAACAGATAAGACATCCTGCCATATAAAGTGAGCTGCTTCCAGAGCTGCGCCGTCGATCTACGTCAAGCCAACTTTATCGCCCGGAGCACTGTACAAAATTCAACGAATCTCTCCATACTTCGTTTTCATTTGTACTTTTGTTACAGCAGCGGAAGTGTTAAAACGTGTTTTCTACATTGTCTACATCGATATGGAGCATGCACAGTAGTAGTATGCGTTTGATACATTCTGAAGTATAAAAATTAATTAGTATATAAAAAAATATATATAACACATTTTTTCAAAAAAANAATTACCTTCCAATATTAAACAATCGATCATACTTACACGGTGGTGACGGCAGGTTGACCGGGTGGAGGATAAGTTTCGCCGGGAGGAACCTGAGGCGGATAGACTCCCGGCGGAGGAGGGCCGGGAGGCGGATAGTAGCCGCCGGGATTGCTTCCGGGAGGATAGCATCCTCCGGGCGGGTACTGTTGGTACGGAGGAGGATAACCACTCATCTATAAGTTTAAACGAAAGCTATAAAACCCAGCTACAGAGAAAAATAATTTCGTTTCTCCAAACGCGTACTTTGAACAGCTTTAAAAAGGTGTAAACAGATAAGATAAAAAAAAAAAGATGACTACTTTGTCTGCGTTTGAGATAACACTTATATTCCTATTTAAAATGGCTATTGTTGGAACACCTAAAATACAATGTCATTGTATTTTATAAAAAAAAAAAATTACACGCATTAAAAGTTGACGAAACATCAATACGTAAATTTTCATTTTAGCGACGTCACGGGTTAAGGACATTTCTTCCGGCTGGCATGTCATTCGGAAAATCATTTTGTTTTTCAATATCTAAAAAAACACTTCATTTTAATTGAAAAACAAATATTGTTTTAATTTTTGTGAATGCACTAAAGTTGGTTCCTAAATGGCACCTTCTCCTTCGGACAGCCAACTTTAGAGGGCCTGGAAAGGTGGCTTTTCTGCATGACTTACTGTCGTGCTGGAAAGCTGCCATTCGTCGGTTAGCATCGGTTAGCGTTTAAAAATAATTTAAGAAATGAAACATGACACAACTTAAAATGAAAATAAATTTAATGGCATAAAAGTAAATTTATAAATAACATAAATGAAAAATAATAAAATATTTACAAATATACATAATATATCATACTTTACATATTGTATAGTACATAGCTATAATCACAAAAAAATAAAAATAAAAAATATCAAAATAAAGAGATAAAAATATAAAAAAAAGTATAATGATAAAAAGAGAATACAAATCAGAATATAAAAATAATATAAATAAGCAATCTATACCAATACAAATTACAGTTAAGTCCGAAATAATATTAAAAATTTTCTTTTGTGTGATAAATCTTGAAACAAGGGGCCGGACACATGGGCACCTGACATTGTTCACATTGATATCTTGTTTCTCGTCTAATTTTTTTTCCTTCCTTGTTCTTTTTATAACAGACAACACAACATCTAGTGGGTGCTACTTTTTTGTCGGTCGGCGGAATAAAGCCCGGGAAATGTTTTTTCGTAAGTTTTAACGGACCTGCAGTTCTCGTCCGACCATGTTTACTGGCCATCGTTACGGTGTGGTATGTGGTTATCAGTCGTTCTATTAGAGTCAGTCGAAATAATGCGTTTGGTTTCTGTCCACCATTTTTTTGATATAACACATAGGCATTATATAGTGAAATGTCTAGTAACTGGAAAAATATTTTTTTGTAATACTTCTTCCCTCTTTTTCTTGCCACAGTATAATCATGGAGATGCTGATCTAAAAGGTCAACACCTCCCATAGTTTTGTTGTAGTCAACAACAACTTGTGGCTTCATTAGTACACTACCGGTACGCGTTTTTGTACTTACCATTGTAGCACTGTGGAATGTAGAAAGGAAAGTGACTGTTCTCCTGTCATGCCATTTTTGTATCAGCACTTTACCTCTCTGCATTGCCACAGTCTCTCCTTTTTTTAATTTTTTTTCGTGTAATATTTTCGGTACATCTTTTCTTGTTGTTTGTAGTGCTCCACAACAATCTGTTTTGCGCGTTATTTGATAATCTGCTAATTGTGGGGAAGTATAATAATTATCCGTAGTTAGACAATATCCCTTGTCTAACAACGGGTCCAGTAATGATAGCACAACTTGTGACGTAAATAAAAAATGCCCGTATTTTTTATTTAGGCGAGTGCCTTTTCCTGTATAAATTAGAAAGTTGTGCAAATATCCTGTTTCCGATTCACATAACATAAAAAATTTGACACCGTAACGAGACCGTTTCTGAGGAATGTACTGCTTCCAGGAAAGACGGCCTTTGAATAATAGGAGGCTCTCGTCGATGCTAATATTTTGTTGCGGAGTATAATATTGGGAAAATTTTGAATTTAAATTATTTATTATCGGCCAAATCTTCCAAAGTTTTGGATTATCGTGTGTTTCGGGATTAAAATTTGTATTGTTTTCAAAATGTAAATTTTTTTTTATTTCCTCGTATCTTGTTCTTTTCATTAATTTACCGAAAATTGGGGTTTCTATAAGTTTATTCCTGGACCAGTACATTTTCTCACTGGGTTTGTACAACAGTCCTTGCAATATACAAATCGTTAGAAATATATATATTTCTTCGACTGTCACTGGCTCCCACTGATCCCGTGCCTGTTGCAATGCGAAGTTGTTCGTTTCGGTTACAATCATGTTTATTAATTCCAAATTAAAAAATAATAGAAAGTACGCTAAAGGGTCAAAATAATCCGCAAGGGTGAAATTGCATCCTGAACTTCCCCGAAAAGGAAATCGCGGAGGAGGTGGTGGAGGATCATCCTTGTTTATTTCCACCCATTTTCTTATAGAGGTGTCGACTCCATCGTCGCTGTGATCTGATCCATCTTCACTGTGATCTGATGATCCATCATCAATGCTGATGCAGCTGTCTGATTCACTCTCAGACATTGACAGTTCTTCGATGTCAAATTCCGAATCTGACATTCTGACAATAAAAAAATGATCTAAAACCCGTTATATATATCGAACGCGNTATTACGGAAGTATCACAATAATCCGGAAGTACTTTGTTTTTTAGAAAGACTTATGGCTGGATGATTCTGAAAAAACGTTTATAAACGTAAAACAGTATGAATATACATATAAATTTATTAAATTCAGGTAAAAATAAATCAGAATAACGATTTATGATAGTTTCTATATGTTCGTAGCTTACTAAGAGTATCTCCGAGAATGCGTGGCTTTTTGCTTGAAATTTCCCACCCCACAAAGCTGAGTCTATGCTTATTCGTTGAAGGATAGTCAATTAGCTATAATATACCAGTTGCAGCTCAACAGGCATGTGACCGAAGGCTTCTTTCATCCAAAAAACAAAAGAAGTGTGTTCCATAGATACAACAATGGGAAGGAGGAGTTTTGTACAAACTGTAACCAAATCTGTACCGATCTAAGCTTTGATTTGCTTTTTTGTATGTGTGTTTTGACTGTCTCAACCAATAAATGTTTTGTCACCACCTCCTGGCCATAAATATTTCGCAAAATATCGACCCCTCCCAGTGTAAAGTAATTAGAAATGAAGAGGCAGATTACTGGCTGATAGAATTGATAGTCAACTTCTTTTAGACTGTAGTTGGTTACTTTCTGTCTATGTTGATATTAGATCAACGAATGAGCCAC